AGTATGACCAATGAAGAAGTTTTAAAGAAAATAGGAACACATACTTAGAATCAGAAACAGAACAACAGAAATTTCTAGGAAACATGATGAGGACAGAAGGCTTGGAGAATTTGACATTCACGGGGCACGTTAAAAGCATGATGGACAGAGGAAAAACAGCGAATAATTTAGCTAAGTTTGTGCAAATGGATGGCGAGATATAAGTAAAACCGTGTTAAGAGCTACAAAGGATAGGAAGTTGGGGAAAGCCATAATCGTACCCGTCCTGAAGGAATACAGTAGAAAGAAAAAAAGTACATAGGCACATTATAGATGCTGAGAATATTATTCATAAAGCATGTCAGTAAGGTTTCAATGAAAATAGACACAAACAGGACACTTATATTTTAGAATCGGAAAAAGCAAGGTAAAATTTTTGGGATATCTGAGGACCGAAGGCTTGGAAAATTTGACACTCACATGACATATGGAAGGGAAGAGAGAAGGAAATGGCGAGTAAGTTACCTAACAAGTCTGTTGGATGACGGAATAGGGAAGGTGAGAGATAGGTAAAAACAGAGCTAAGAGCTACAAAGGAAGATATGGAGAGCCATGATCGCACACGCCCTGAAGAGATATGGTACATGAAAGATGAGTCAAATTGCTCAGCTATCGGTTTTAAAATTTAACCAAAATGAATTTATATAGAACTTACTGTCTCATAAGTTCAAAAGTCACAGAGTAAAGCAACTGAAATGTTACATAGACATTAAGAAAGAAATTTTAGACAGAGAAAAGATCCACCTCCTAATTAAGCTAATTAGTGTCAAAGCCACATGCTAGTTCAGTTTAAGAGGCAGACAAGCGATGTAAGGTTTAAGGTTCTAAATTTCCATTACTGTATGGTTTCATTGGGGGCTTATGAAGAGGTGGACTTCCTCTGGTTGATGGTCCACGAAATGTTTGTGAAGCGAGTAGAGATAATTGGAGTTTGAGAGTTCAATTTCTTGGTCGAGCAGTGTGAAATGTCATCTACTTTTGGTTCAATCGAAGTGACAATTACGAATTAACTGATGAAATGTGAATGTAAAAAACGAGGTCAATACATTTAAGATTAATAATTAGATTTAAAGTATAGCTGGCCACTCGTAGTTGAAGATACACATCTACTAGAGCGGCTAGCCAATCCCTACTGCAGACGCTTGCTCAGGCGCATTTGTGTTCAAAACACCTGTGGTTTATACTGCAACTAAGCTGAGCAGACCTTAGTCACAGTTTCTAGGAAAGAGCGCTTTATCTAGCGTGATCAACAGTTTCAATAACGCCAGCACGCTCAAACCCTCAGCCACGATGACTTTTTACTTCGTGCTAGCACAGCTATCAACGGCCATTAAGGGTTGAGTATACCCAATTTCACTCACGAGGCACTTTCCAAAGGTGCCGCACGCTGGGATCGACCCATCCAGTCCGATAAAGTTAGGAAGTCTTCTTCCTGACAAATCGACCATGGTGAGATTCGAACCTGGGTCTCATGGTCAGAATGCGAATGTTTTAACCACTCAGCCACGAGCCCACATAGACTTAAAGTACTTGCGTAAATAAAACATTTATTTTGTACAAAGAGAACACGGTATAAATGTATTACATGCCTTCTCTCCGACCCTGAAAAAGAAAAGCTAGCGAATATTAGTTTGCGGTTATATCACGTAACAACAGTTTTCTTCTGATCACCGAAGTTAAGCAACGTTGAGTCTGGTCAATACCTAGATGGGTAACCGCTTGGAATACCAGGTGCTGTAAGCTTAGATGTGCGGGTGGCGTGCTGGACAATTTTTCGAAATGAAAAATCCGAAAACCGAGTTCGAATTCTAGTCGGGTTCCATTACTAACGCACAAATACCCTTAATGGAAAGGTGTGAACCTCTTCTTCTCCCACCCCAGCGATAAATAGCAGGACAGATGGGTTCTAATAGCCTTGGATCTGAATTGGTCTAGGAGTAAAACAACTCTGAATTCAAAACCTGCCACGGGAATTTTCTACCAAGGATATGAATCGAAACAGGTCTCTCAACTTTTCAGACTAAGCTTAATTTAGTTAAGTTTTTTTGATTTAATTATTTTAGGACATTTTTTCTAACGTATTTTTTTTGACTCTTTTTTTCAACTTGTCATTTTTTTTGATTTCTTATTTTTTTCTAACGAAGGAAAGAAGGGAGAAACTTTTTTTTTTTTTTTTCTTTTCATTTCCTTTCCCTTTTAACCGTTACTTCTTTTTTTGTTATTAATTATTTCTGTTCTGAGTTCATTTTTTTCAGTACCCACACCCGGAGTTTTTCTGTTTATTTTTCGTTTCTCGTTTGACCTTTTTTAATTTTTACGTGTTAATTATTTCTGTGTTACCCGTTTAAAAAAAAAAAAAAAAAAAAAAAATTTTTGACAAATACGTGTTTTATTTTTAATTTTTGTAATCTCTGTCCCTCCTCTTTTTTTTAACGTTTTTTTTTTTTTGGGTTGACCGTTTTTTTTTTTTTTTTTTTTTGTTAACCAACGTTTAAAAGTCCATTTTGTAAATTGTAACTTTTTTTTTGTTTCGTACGTATTGCGTTTTCTCTTTTTTCCGTTTATAACTATTAGTTTTATTGTGTAATTTGTTTGCTTTCTTGTCTGTTGTCCTTTAAATTTTTGTTCTTTCTTCATTTTCGTGAACCTTGTTCACATTTTCTCGTCTGTATATTTGGTTTTTGTTTTTGTATCTGTTTATATTTGTGGTTATAATTTTTGCACACGTCCTCCTTTTTGATTTTTTTTTTCTGTTGATATTTGTTTAATTGTTTGTCTTGCTGATAGGCCAAACTTTTTTTTTACCCTCCCTTTTTTTTTTTTTTTCTCCCCTCCCTCCGCCTATAAGGCGGTTCCCCACCCGTATTTACCCTCCCTCCCTCTTATTATTTTTTAAAAATGGAGAAAAAAAGGATAAAAAACCACCCTCCTTTTTGGCTATTAAAAAAAAAGCCCAAAAGGCTATTCAAAGCACCTGTTCAACCCAACCAAAAAAAAACCCCCGGACAAAGACAGTTTGAAGAGTTTCCAGCTCTTAATACCTCTTCCCCTAGCAGTGTGGAATCTGTTGGGGAAAAAAGTCAATAAAATGAAAAAAAATTACTTCTACGGAAGCTCAGAATGGCAACAAAAATGACTCAACTATGGAGGCCAATAATGGCCAAAATTCTGAAAAATCCAAAATGAACCGCAAACTGAGCCTGAGGCCGGGGAATCGCCCTCTTGTTGGTCGTCCCCTCCTAAGTGCATTATCAATTTAGCGGAGTTCTTGGAGCGTGCCAAAAGTTACGCACACCTTGTTGTAGATGGTGGACTTTTGGAAGACCCCAAGAATTGAAAAAATTGACAAAAGAATAGTGTCAGTTTTCGTCGTGGACAAGCGTACGCGCAAAATTTGTCGCTCGACGAAAAACACAGTGTTAAAAGCATTGGAATCCTTCGGGTTCAAGCCCCTTAGAATAGTTAAGGGTGCTAAATTTTTCATGTGGGACGTACTGTTGCCCACATCAGAAGATTGCGTCGCCGCGGCTAGCCGTGAGCTTATTAACAAAGATATAATACTGCGTACAGAGTACGAAGGCCGACGTAAGACCAGGGTAACGGTATACGAGGTCCCTCCTCAGGTTATCGGGGAACATCTCGCGGCGTTCTTCTCTCAGTATGGCGAAATTCTGGGAGCTTCCTGTGATAGCCTGAGCGGGGGTGGAGCTTTGACATCATGTTGGACGAGAAAGCCTTCCGCTCCATCCCCAACTGTCTGGATGTTGGCGTCTTGAAATTACCGGTCATTGTGACGGGTCGAAGACCGGTATGCTGGAGGTGTGGAGTGACTGGTCATCTCTCCTCCTCCTGCCCAGAGAAGAAGGCCTCTGGAAGTCAAGCGCCAGTTACCCAAGATCCCCCCCTCTGACCGCGTCTCTAAATTCCGCCTCGCCTGTAATGGGCGTACCAGCCTCCGGGACCGGGTCGGTTAATCCTCCGGTCGGCGCAACATCGAAAGCCACATTCCCCAAAGAGCCTTCGCCCGCTGCCGGTGCAGTTGTGGAGAAGGGGAGGGAATGGCTGGTTGCTGGTAAGGCCAGAGGGAAGCGCCGGACAGCGGGTCCTCAGTCCCCTGAAGCCCCTAGGAAGAAAGGCACATACAGCCCCACTCCCTCTAACAACGTTAAGGGCGATGCCCCGGCCTCTGAAGAATCATTTGAAGAAAAGCAAAAGAGATTCGACCCCGGTTATGAAAAGATCAGAGAAACTCAAAGAATTAAAAAAGAGGCTAGATTCGGAAAGAAAAGACCCAATCCCTTCTACGTCCTCTAGTAGACCCGCCCCTTCTCCGAAGAAACAACCCCCTTCATCGCCTGCTATTTCACCATCAAAGGCCAAACCCACCAGTAGGGATCCCAGCCCCTATAGGCATAGATCCTTTTATACCCCCATGAACACTCCCACTCCTTCCCCCGTTAAACAAAAACCCACCCCCCTTCATACCCCCAAGCAATCACCGGCAAAAAATGCCGAGATGCCTCCTCCTGCTCCCAAGCGGCAAAGAAGCCCAACACAAAAAGAAGAAAAAAAAGATAGAAAGAAAAGATTTATTTTTAACACAGGAGAGGAGGTATGCCGTATTTCCCCTGCCCAGGCCGAAAGAGCCCGGGACTATAGTAACAGGGTCAAAGATTTGAAGTTCCTGCTTTCAATCAAACAGTTTGCCGACCTTGACATTGAGGAACCTAAAAACTTCCCAAATGCCCAGAGGGTCCTGACAGTTATTAGGTCAGGACCTGCAGCCAATCAGACTTGGGCGATGGTGGAGGAAGCCGTAAATGCCTGTAAGATGGCTTTGCCCATCGCCATAGTCGAAAACGACAAATTAAAAAAGTTACAACAGTTCTGTGCAGGGAGGGTCCCCGTTTTAGTTCACCCATCCCTGTATAGAGCTCTTAAATTGACCTTCCCTGGGATATCGGCGGTATCTCCCAAGACGGCACCATCAAGAATGAGATGGGCCATGGGTCTATGGGAGACGCGGTCGGTATCCTTACCCCGGCCATGTTTAATGCTGGTAAGCAACCCTAATCGGACTTCTCATGTCTCTCTGGTTAGCTACGTTAAATGTGCGGGGCCTGAGGTCCGAGTCTCGCAGGGCGAGGCTCTCTCGTGACCTTCAGCGCCTCGGGGTGAATGTTTGTTGTGTGCAAGAGACCCGTTTTTCTTCTCATGACCGTGAGGATATACTGTCTAAGGGTTCGCCCTTTTTTTCAGCATGTTTTGATGGTCGTTCGAGGGGTGTCTCTTGGCTAGTGAGCAAGTCTTTGGAGGCTGCATGTTCCCTTGTCTTCGCAGATCCGGCGGGCAGGCTTTGCGTGCTGGATGTTACTATAAAGGATAAGGCTTTACGTCTCATTGGGGTTTATGCGCCCAATGTTCATGCTGAGCGGCCTGCTTTGTTTCGGCAGATCGAGCCGTTTTGACGACTTCTCGTCGGGTAGTCTTAGCGGGGATTGGAATGCCGTCCTTGACCCCGATATAGATCGTATAGGTAAAAAACCGGGTACTAACAATCCTGATGTGAAGGCATTTCGGGACTTTATCGACAGGTTTGATCTTGTCGATAAGTACCGGAATGAGCACCCTCAGGAGGTAGCATGGACTTGGACAACTAGTGGCAACTCGGCCAGTGGCTCGCTTGCGAGCTATCTGGACCGAGTGTTAGTTAGGAGAGTCGACGTAGGGCTCTTAGAGTGTCCAAGTTTCCATTATATAGTTTACACGGATCATAGGCTTGTCCGGGTCCGTGTAAACTTAGATAAACCTAAGGTTAGATTGGCTGGTTACTGGAAATTTAACTGTTCACTTTTCGGTGAACAGGATTTCCGGGACCAGCTGCTACTAATGATTCAGAGGGAATTGACGGGGGCGGTTGTGGGAAACGCCTGGTGGGGAAAATTAAAATCAAAAATTAGAACGTTTGCTGCCGATTTTAGTCGTCGACTCAATCTAGATAGACTAGCGGCGCAAACGGCATTAGAAGATAAAGTTGATCGGGCCGTCAAATCCCGTGTTAGTGGGGACATAGTCTTAGCTAAGGCAGAGTTGGCCTCCTTGCTTATCAAGAAGGATCAAGCTCTGGTAGTTAGGGCTAGGCTAAAGAGAATGTCTTCTGAGGCGACGAATATGGCCGCAGAATTGCGTGCAGAGGAAAATCGGAACGCGGCTAAGCGACATATAGCGTGCGTCACATTGCCGGATAAGCGGACCGTGACTACAAGCGCGGGCATATGCGAGGCCTTTCGGCTTTATTTCCAGGATCTTTTCACCAGGGAGCCCGGTCTGAGCTCTGCTCAGTTCGATGCCTATTTGGCTGACTTTCCCTGCCTTGAGGCAGCTGAAGCGGCTAGGTGCGAGGGTCCCATAACAGAGTCGGAAATCTGGGATGCGCTGAAGCAGGTTGGCCTGGATAAGTCTCCGGGACTAGATGGACTTCCCCTACGAAGTGTACTTGAGGCTGTCGCCCGTTTTGTTCCTTTGCTGCAGCTGATTTACAACCACTGGATGAGGCAGGGGTCTTTACCTCGACGCTTCACCAGGGGTGTGATCAAGTTGTTGCGTAAGGACAAGAACGGTGGGGATGGGTTAGGGAACTTTCGCCCTTTGACGATGTTAAATACTGACTTAAAGATTTTGGCGAAGATCTTAGCCAACCGTTTGCAGCTTGTCCTGTCTCGTCTGATTGGCCCCGAACAG